GCAACCGGGTACCCGATACCCGTACCCAGCCGGGTACGGGTACCTGTTTGCGACCCTGGTGCGGCCGGGTACGGGTACGGGTAGGCCGTGAGTCACTGGTGAGTCACCGTTTGTCACTCATTTCCCAACGTCTTGTCTCTTCTCACAATTCAACTTCCTAGAATCAACCCACCCGCGCCTGCAACATGGCTTCATCCCAGAGGTCGCAATCGGGTACCCGATACCCGTACCCGTACCCGGCCAGGTACGGGTAGGGTACGGGTACGGCCGGGTACGGGTACCCATTTGCGACCCTGGTGCGGCCGGGTACGGGTAAGGAATCAAAACCCGTTTGCGACCTCTGGCCGACCCTACCCGCGCGCACCAACACACGCGGGATGTCCCCCCACCGAGTGGCCAGTCTTATCAGACTCTTGGGGGGCAAACAGCGTTGTTGCGAGCGCCTGCCGACGCCTGACGCGGCACACGAGGGCACGGCGTGGGCCTCCCCCTGGGCCTTCCCCTGGGCCTTCCCCTGGGCCTTCCCCTGGGGCCTCCCCCTGGGGCCTCCCCCTGGGGCCTCCCCCTGGGGCCTCCCCCTGGGCCTTCCCCTGGGGCCTTCCCCTGGGCCTTCCCTCGGGGCCTCCCCCTGGGGCCTCCCCCTGGGGCCTCCCCCTGGGGCCTCCCCCTGGGCCTCCCCCTGGGGCCTCCCCCTGGGGCCTCCCCTTGGGCCTCCCCCTGGGCCTTCCCCTGGGCCTTCCCCGGGGCCTTCCCCTGGGCCTTCCCCTGGGCCTCCCACGGGGCCTTCCCCTTGAGCCCGCGCGGAACAACGCACGCACACGGGAGACGCGCGTACGGGCCCGGCGGAACGGCCACGTCCCCGTGTCCTCATGCTCGGCTTTCTCCATCTCCCCCCCCCCCCCCCGGTGCCTTGACGCTCTGCTTCCTTTGCCCTGTGTCTCTGTCTCCTTGTCCCCGTGCGATTTTGATCTCCGCGTCCCTCCGTCTCCGTGTCCTCACGTGCATCTGCACGTCCGTGTCCCCGTGTTTCCGTTGTCCCCTGTGTCTCCCCGCTCTGTCTCCATGTCCCCATGTCCCCGTGTCCCCATGTCCCCGTGTCTCCGTGTCCCCGTGTCCCCGTGTCCCCGTGTCTCCGTGTCCCCGTGTCTCCGTGTCTCCCCGCTCTGTCCCCGTGTCCGTGTGTCCCCGTGTCCCCGTGTCCCCCTGTGTCCCCGTGTCCCCGTGTCCCCGTGTCTCCCCGCTCTGTCTCCGTGTCCCCGTGTCCCCGTGTCTCCCCGCTCTGTCTCCGTGTCCCCGTGTCCCCCTGTGTCCCCGTGTCCCCGTGTCTCCGTGTCTCCCCGCTCTGTCTCCGTGTCCCCGTGTCCCCGTGTCCCCGTGTCCCCGTGTCCCCGTGTCCCCGTGTCCCCGTGTCCCCGTGTCCCCGTGTCTCCGTGTCCCCGTGTCCCCGTGTCCCCGTGTCCCCCCGTGTCCCCGTGTCTCCGTGTCCCCGTGTCTCCGTGTCTCCCCGCTCTGTCTCCGTGTCCCCGTGTCCCCGTGTCCCCCTGTGTCCCCGTGTCCCCGTGTCCCCATGTCCCCGTGTCCCCGTGTCCCCATGTGTCTCCCCGCTCTGTCTCCGTGTCCCCGTGTCCCCCTGTGTCCCCATGTCCCTGTGTCCCCGTGTCCCCTGTGTCCCCCGTGTCCCCTGTGTCTCCCCGCTCTGTCTCCGTGTCCCCGTGTCCCCATGTCCCCGTGTCCCCGTGTCCCCTGTCCCCCTGTCCCCCTGTCCCCCTGTCCCCGTGTCTCCGTGTCCCCGTGTCCCTCTGTGTCTCCGTGTTCCCTGTCCCCCTGTCCCCGTGTCTCCGTGTCCCCATGTCCCCGTGTGTCTCCGTGCCCCTCCGTGTCCCACTGTGTCTCCGTGTCCCCCTGTGCCTCCGTGTCCCCTGTGTCCCCGTGGTGTCCCCCCCGCAGTGCCCCCGCTGTTCCGCTCCAACTCGCTGACGCGTGTGGACGGCTCCCCGAAGCGCGGCTCCGTCATCGCGTGGCCCGAGAGGAGGCAGAGGTGGGAGTGTACGCACGTGTGTGTGTGTACGTGTGCGTGTGTGTGTGCACGTGTGCGTGTGTGTGCACGTGTGTGTGTGCACGTGTGTGTGTACGTGTGTGTGTGTGTGCACGTGTGTGTGTGCGTGTGCACGTGTGTGTGTGCACGTGTGTGTGTGCACGTGTGTGTGTGCACGTGTGTGTGTGTGCATGTGCACGTGTGTGTGTGCACGTGTGTGTGTGCACGTGTGTGTGTGCACGTGTGTGTGTGCGTGTGCACGTGTGTGTGTGCACGTGTGTGTGTGTGTGTGCACGTGTGCGTGTGCACGTGTGTGTGTGCACGTGTGTGTGTGTGTGCACGTGTGTGTGTGCACGTGTGTGTGTGCGTGTGTGTGTGTGTGCACGTGTGTGTGTGCACGTGTGTGTGTGCACGGTGTGGGTACGTTGTGTGTAAGTGTGTCGGGGTGATAAGTGTGCGTGTGTG